TTTCAACTAAGTAGAAAGAAAAGTCCATAGACACAATATTATTTGCATCGTAGTGCATTTAAAGTAGCACCCATGATCATAACGCGATAGGTATGGTAAGATGTCTATGCATTAAAAATTTTTGTATCTACACAATCAAGCTTGTTTCTTTAGTCAATTAATGTTTGATTTATGAATCCAGTGTTGGGTGTTTTCGTTCGATATTTAGTTTTATGTAATTAAAATAGCATGTGTATTTTTGGCACAGATTTTGATTGTAAATTCTGGATTGGAAGATTCTGGATTGGAAGATTCAGAGATTGGAAATTCCACCACGGAGTTGTTGTAGAAAGCTCACATTAAACTTGAAATCACAAAAAAATATTACTGGTGGTAGGGCGTCTTGTGAGTAATAATGTGTTTCGGTTTGAAGGTTGGTGCAGCCATTGTGCTTTTAAAAAAAACAAATTAGACTTAGAACACGTGTCTCAAAGTGGGGGTTGGCATTTAGGTTGTTCATGTTTATGGTTTCTGCTGACCACTTAACACCGGGTAGACCATGAGCTAGACCACCCTACTAAGCAATAAAAAAATTGAAATAAAATGTCACACACGGTCATCTGGTCCAAAACTAGGATTTTTTTTATTGTGGAAACCAGAGACTGATATAAATTATTTATAATATACGTATATAGGTATTAAACACCCAGATAAAGAGTAAGCCAGTCTGTTTATCACTCGAATGTTTGCCTGATGTTGGAATCTAAGTCCCCACCTTCAGCCCAGATGCAACTACTGCATCAGTCAGTCGAATGTAGACTCATAATGAGTTTTACCGTCTTCTTTTTTTAAATTATTGCCGTTGTTATAAAATTGTTATATAACTAAGCGGAAAAAGAAGTTTATGCGTTGTCAGAAGTTTCTAGTAGTCGAAGTTGTGTATAACTAACTACGCTGGCAGGGGACATAAAACATTTTTATTCCGATATCCGGTACTTCGCACGGGCGCTGCGTCTTTTGATTTGTATATAAAGTTTGATTATGTTATTTGGAAATTCGAGTGCCGGAGAACATTTACGAGGGCTTACTTCTATTGGTTTATTTATTACCTGTCTACAAAAACTCCGGGATCCTGACTATTAATTTGTTTTAACTTTGCAGCTTTTCGTGTAGACGTGTTCACGGTAATCATGCGATTGCTTCGGCTATGGACAAAACGCGTATGCCCAATGGCTGGCGGCCAACATTATAATTAAAACAGTCAATGCCTTACTTGATTATGAGCCTACAAGTTATAAACCAACCTGCCTATTTCTGTAACGCGTTCTCGTTTGAAGGGTGGGGCAGTCGTAATATAATTTTATTATGAGTTGAGCCTTGTTCCCGGGTGTGTACTGGAATCCATATTGTGACGTTACGTATTACAATTACAAGGTTACGCTGTGCCTTTACAAATTTTGCCATTTATTGTTAAAAATTGTATTAAAAATTACAGTCAAATTTTTTTTTACATATCCGCATATAGTCTAAGGGGTTATTCTAGATTCTCGCGGACGAGTCTTGCCTATAATGCACCTCAAATAAAGTTGTTAAAGCTGTATAAGTAGAGAAATTGAACACGTGTAGACACAAAACGTTGTTTAGTTTGATCACATTGCAAACTCATGTTTATTTCTCACGAATGATATTTTATTGCTAGTGTTGTACCTACGTAATCACATGCGCTTTGCTTTGTATATTTCACGCTTATGATTTTATTTTAATTATCGTTTATATTATGGTTATATGTTTCTATTCCTATTTCCTGAAACTATGGTGCTTACAGTACGTTTTGTGAGTTCGTTTTTCCATGTACATATTTGGAACTACAATAATTTGTTTTCACGGTATTCCCCGAGCATTATAATAAGCTCTTTAAAATTTAAAAAAAGAGATTTTCTTAAGCCGTGTCTCTGGTATTGCTCGTGCCGATGAAGCCGCGACGGCGACCAATCACCGTCAGGTAGACCGTGCCTTTACTAACGACAGTCAAAATTAAACAAATAACGCATCCCGGCTCTAAGATGTATCGCAAATGCTATAAAGTCACTTATGCAATTTTTGTTAAAACCGAACTGAGTATGAGAAAATATTTTTTTTAATAGTTATCAGTGAGATGTTTGCTTTTACTGATGTAATTAAAAGTAACTTAAACTTAACTTAACTTAACTTACCATCAGGTGGGCCGTATGCTCGTCTGCCTACAAAGGCAATAAAAAAAAAAAAAAAAAGTTGTAATTTAAATAGGTATTATCGTTTTTATTTCTTTAGTCTAGCCGAACTATATACCTAGTCAGGTCATAAATTCTGTCACATGTTTAATGTAAAATAATTGAAACAAGTTTATTCATAATGTAACCATTCATATACCAAAATGAATTTAACAAAACATAGATTCTTATGACACTAAAGTTTATTCAAAATGACCTCCGTGATTTTGAATACAGGCCTTCAATCTGCGCGGCCAGTCGTCTATCGCAGCACGAACGAGATCCATGTCAATATCGGCGGCTGCCTTAATCAAGGATGTCTTGAGTGACTCCAAATTGGGATGAGGCTTTGAGCACGCCTTTTCCTCCAAGTGTTGCCATATCTTGTAATCTAACGGATTCAAATCTGGACTGGAGGAGGGCCAGTCTTCGTGCCGGATGAAGTCGATTTCACGCGCCGCCAGCCAGTCTTGTGTGCTCTTCGCTCTATGAGCTGGCGCCGAATCTTGTTGGAATACCCAGTGCCTGTTATTGAACATGGTATGAGAAACAGGTTCCACAAGGTTCGTCAGGACTGTATTTTGATACACAACTGCATTCGTTTTTACACCTTTCTCACAAAAATGTACCTCTGTTAAGCCCCAATAAGAAACTCCCAACCATACCATGAGCGAGGATGGAAAATGACCTCGTTGGACACGCGGAATACGGTTGCTCGCTTCTTCACTACTGTGTGCGTACACCTTATCATTTTGTTTGTTGTAGCTCTCTTCTACGGTAAAAATTTTTTCATCCGAAAAAAGAATTTCCCGATATTTTTTTCCCGCGTACCGTTTCAACAAAGCGCGGCATCTCTTCAGTCTCAGGTCCATTAGACGAGCATTCAAACGATGTCCTGTTTTTCTTTGAAATGCCCGAAGCCCTAAGTCTTCATTTAACACCCTTTTCACCGTGGTTCTGCTTAACCCCATCTGAAGGGCCAACAGTTTCTGCTTACGTTTGGGATTTCTTTGAATTCGCGCCTTCACAGCTTTTATGACTGCTGGAGTCCTAACAGACCGAGGGCGACCACTTCTTGACCTGTCATCTACACTAGAGTCTTCATTGTATCGTTTGATGGTACGATAAACGAATCTTTTGGTTATATTTAAATTTTTCAGTATGTTAAAAATTTGAATTGGCGCGTAACCACAACGATGCAACGCAATAACTGCAACACGGTCTTCTTTAAGCGGCCACTCCATATTTAAAAATGAGTAAAAATCTAAAAGTTTACATTTTTATTTTCATGAACAATTCGAAATTCGAATTCAATAAACTTTTTTGTGGCCAGCATTCTAAAAGAAAAGTTTTTACTGTGTGACAATACTTATGACCTGACTAGTTATAATAAGATGTTGAATTTTCCAACGTTTCTCTTGAAAAATTACATAATTTGCATAAGTGACGTTATCGCACTGTATGTGCGGTATGTCGCCCAGCCAGAGTTCTTACTCCTGATGGAAGACTTTGCTTGGGGACTTTGCTTATAATGTTTTCTTAGCAAATATATATTTAAAAAACATCTTTACGAACGTCTGGTGGCAGAGGATATTGCAAATCCGGGTTCCATTCCTGACTATTGCTGTCGTGAAGAAATTTGAAGGGCGGCACATTTATTTGACAATACAATACAAACCTTGACTTCACTGTCTATGTGGATTGAGGTATGACTGCGATGTCTATGGGCTCTGGAAACCACTTTATGCGAAATTGGCTGAAACACGTTCACTCAGCAACGCAAAACAAGGACTTTAAAATATTATGTAGGAATAATATAGCCTAGTACCCGCGAAATTAACAAATCTAGACAAACCCATTATTGCAACACGATATCCTCTGGTTAGAGCCAGGTCAGATCATCTACTGGCTGGGTTACGTTGGTATAACCTCTTAGGTTATCAGCTTAGGTAAGAAAAAAATGATTTTATTGTAAAAAAGCGTGGGGTGCTTTTCAGGATATTTTCAAAAAAAACCCTCTACTCATGTCTGTTCATAAAATATTTATCACTACTGATACCAGGCACCCCACGCCTTTTTTACAATAAAATCATTTTTACTTACACTATTTTAAAATTCAAATTTATTAATATCTATTTTCTATTTTTTAGTTGGATTTTCTATAAAAGCGTATTTTGTTAGTTTTTTAAATTATTATTTATTTTTTAGTTGAATTTCATTTTTTTCAATTTTTTTTTTTTATATTCTCTTGTCATCGGTCCTTAATAAGTATACCAAATTTCAAGTTAATCCGACGTTTTGAAGGGGGTCAAAATCATGTTCATAGATTCCTCCTTTATATACTAACATACTAACATACATACGTCTGAAGCTAATAAAAGCTTATTAAAAATACAACACCACCGACAATTCGACTTTACGTCGCTGGAATAAAACTAAACTAATTCGGTTCATACCAATTTGAGACCAATCGCCTCTTGTTTTTGAAATAGCCTATGAAATGTTGTCGCTGGTTTAATTCCACAAATTCAACTAATTACGGGCACGTGTCATATTTAGCACTCAACATCCCCGTCAATCCCGTTGTTAATATAAACGAGAACACATCCTTATTAGTGCCGGGTTCCCAAGGCAACGATAAAATTTTGTAATGTGATAAATTAACGGGCGTTTCTCAACATTCCCGCTTTGATATAATAACATTCACGTGGCGTCTTACGACCAATCAAATATAATGTTTACTAATTGAATTTCATTCGCAGATGCCATAAAATGCGCTGGTTAATTGGAGCTTCTGAAAATATGAAGCACGGCAAGAGGGGCGGAGGCCGGGCCCGGTGGGAATCCAGGCTGCTCGTTGCTGCTATTGCGTTGGCTTTTGTAAATGCTCAAGGTAATTCGGGCTCGTTATTTTAAACTGAGTAATTCTTGCTATTCCATACTTTGTTTTACGGCTTTTTTATTTATTTAATTGTCCTTGTAGGCAGACGAGGATACGGTCCACCTGATGATGAGTGGTTACCGTCGCCCATGGACATCAGGTATGCCAGGGGCAAAGCCAAGCTGCTGCCTACCGTAATTGCGGCTTGGTAAGTGAGGCGAAACATTCAGTCCGAGCTTGATGCCTCTCTGAAAATGATTTTTACCAAAACTGGTTTAATGGTGGTAGAACCTCTTGTGAGTCCGTACAGGTAGGTACCACCGCCCTGGCTATTTCTGTCGTGAAGCAGTAATGCGTTTCAGTTCGAAGAGTGGGGCAGCCGTTGTAACTATACTGAGACCTTAGAACTTATATCTCAAGGTGGGTGGCGCATTTATGTTGTAGATGTCTATGGGTTCTAATAGCCACTTAATACCAGGTGGGCTGTGAGCTCGTCCACCCATCTAAGCAATAAAAAAAAACTCGCTTGGCGTTGCCGCTGTTAGTTCCAGGCTGTAGGGATGGACAAACGTAAATTTTACAATTTTAAGTTGCTTTATAAAGTTTTCACACAAATTATTCGTAGCGCTGCCTGAGTTCGACTGTTAACACATTGCAGCACTAGTTTCGGCACTGGCGAACGGCAATTTGCATAAAATTGAAATATGAATTCGTATTAGTATTAAATAATTCTCGATATTTAAATTGTGTTTTGAGGCTGAATTTTATTTATTGACGTTTTTAAAAAGATTTTCGAAGTTTGAAAAGAAGAGAAGAGTATTTCAATAAAATGTTTCATTGGTTTCAAACCAAATCCTTTGCGGCAAAAATATCACGATGATGGTAGCCCACTGAGTTTCTCTCCGGATTTTCCCAGTGGGTCGCGTTTCCGATCCGGTGGTAGATTCTGCGAAGCACTGCTCTTACTAGGGCCAGTGTTAGCATCACTCCAGTTTGAGCCCCGTGAGCTCACCTACTAGTTAAGGTTACGCTGAAATAGCCTCTCAAGGCTATCGCTTAGGTAGGAAACAAAAAAAAGGATGATGGTATTGCGCCTGTGTGGGCTGAATGAATGAATTTTGCAAATTGTGTCTTTATTTTTATTACCCCGATTACTTGAGACGAGTATGTATACGCTATACATCAGCCCGCTAAGATTCTCGCCGGATCTTCTAAGCGGGTCGCGATTCCGATCCGGTAGTAGATTCATTCGCGAAGCACCTGCCCTTGAGTTGTTAGGTCTCCTCCGGAGGCGCTCGGGCAGCTGTTAGCGAATCCCAACCGCCCTGGCTGAGCATTTGCTCGCGATGAAACTGGAAAGGCCTTTGGACCACCAGTAATCCTTCCGTCATAAAAAATCAATAAAAACGAGTATGTACGCCATTCTTTATATATTCTTCTTCTTCATTTGTTACCATTCTTAGTATACAACTAGCTGTACCCGTCCGCTTCGCTGGGCATTTAAAATTAACATTATTATTTTTCGCCCCCAAAAGATTCTCATCATTAACACCCCCATAACTGGTGTAGGGAGTCCAACACTCATATAAATATTAGCCTATCCATTAAGTACATGTATTTTCTATATGGATACCAAGTTTCAAGTCAATCGGATGCATGGTTCAGTAGTTATAACGGAACATCCGTAAAAACAACTGTAGATTTATTTATATATTAGTATAGATTACGCTACGCATGCGTGATACAAATCCTTATAAAATTCTCTCGAAGTCTTACATCGAAATTTGTTGTTTACGACTAGCTTATAGAAGGTTATTTCATAACATGGCCGATCTCAGTTAAGGATGGCAGAACTCCTGTCCATATTGCATAGCATAATCTCAAAGCGACTTCCAGTTATGAAGTACGTAACACAAACGGGAAACTTGATTTCTTATTAAATTACATGTGAATTCATCTACCATATGAAGAAATCTCGTTTAGATTCATATTACAGTTAAAAGGATACCTTTACAACTGTATTTTGCATGATTGGGTCGTTGGGCTCTTGAGTATTATGCAATTATTAACGGAATCGGATAAGATACGTTGCTTATAGTAAGTAACATAGTTGAAATGATATAAGCAAGGAAGGGCCGGCGTTTCAATGATATAATATAAAACTATTTGCTGAATAGTTAGGCGAAAAGTTTAATTAATCCAATTGACACATCAAGTTTATTAACTTTAAGTCTCTAATTTTTTATTATAATTATATGATACTGACTCGGTAGTGCGGTCAAATGCGCCCCTGAATAATGGACCGAGGGTCGTAGATTCGATTTCCAGATCGGGCAAACATTCGTCTGATTAACGTCATATTGAATCGTTTGTAACCTCTGGGTCTGCGGAGGGATTTCGGTTATGTATTTTGTATCGTATGTTCCATGGGGAGTGCTCTGAGGCATTGTTCGAGATGATACCGGCATCTCGTTTTTACCATCGCACCGCCCGCCACCGGAGTAGAGTTCATCCACACTACCTGGAGCCACTGCGGTCATCCACAGTGCGTTTCCAGAGGTCTTTTTTGCCACGTACCATCCGGCTATGGAATGAGCTCCCCTCCACGGTGTTTCCCGAACGCTATGACATGTCCTTCTTCAAACGAGGCTTGTGGAGAGTATTAAACGGTAGGCAGCGGCTTGGCTCTGCCCCTGGCATTGCTGAAGTCCATGGNTTTCCAGAGGTCTTTTTTGCCACGTACCATCCGGCTATGGAATGAGCTCCCCTCCACGGTGTTTCCCGAACGCTATGACATGTCCTTCTTCAAACGAGGCTTGTGGAGAGTATTAAACGGTAGGCAGCGGCTTGGCTCTGCCCCTGGCATTGCTGAAGTCCATGGGCGACGGTAACCACTCACCATCAGGTGGGCCGTATGCTCGTCTGTCTACAAGGGCAATAAAAAAAAATTGTATATGTTTAAACGTATATAAGTGTGTAAATAAGTCTCTGGTTGCCGTAGTACAGGGAATCTTTGTAAAGGCCAGATGACCGTGTGTGACTAATTGTCTCCAGTTATTATTTATTTTACACAAACACACTCACACGCTAACGCACACACACACACACACATATCCAAAATACATTTACTTCAGAAAGTACGATATCAGAAATAATGTACTCAAATAACACCCCTTTATTTATGACACGCATACTAGTCGATCTTTGTCTATTTTATAGCCTCTTCCTTGCATTTTAGGTAAAACATACATACATATCGACGCTTGAAAGGCAAACGTGACTAAGCGACAATGTGTGAACTTTACAGTAGACTAATTTAAAGTTGAAATAACTGAAAAAAGAAATATGTTAACGAATCTAGCTGTAGTAGAATTTAGATATTTTTTGCGCATCGAATGTACAAAGCAGTTATTATCGCTTAGTCACGTTTGCCTTTCAAGTGTCGATATACTACTGACTGTTGCTACTGACATAATATTAGTCGATTTATTTTTACTAGTGGTCCTCCCCGAAGTCGAAATTCGATCATAATTAATTTAAATTAGTTATAAGTTTGAACATTATTATGGTTCTATTGTCACATTTCTGTAATCATTGTTCTTTAATCACAAATTTGGCTAAGACTGCACTATAGACAAATAATATTAAAGACAAAAATATTAATCTGTTCTCTATTAGACCACAGGCTAACAATAAACAAAAGAGTATATTTGCATGTTGACACACAGTCAAATACATCGTAGTGTGTGTAATGGTTTTTTTTAAATCGTATTTATATGCATAATTTTAAAAATATATTATAATTCTGTACTTCTTCTCTATATTCTCTATAAGTGTGAGAAATTTCATGCTCCTCTGTCCGCCGCGTAAAAAGGGGTACAAAGTTTTTGCTTCACGTATTAATAAATAGATTCCATGGATTACTTTTCAGCTTCATGAGTGTACCAATTTTTGTAACATATCCCCAACATAGACGAAAACTCTTATAACATGCATTACCATTTTTTAGCCGACTTCAAAAAAAGGGGAGGTTCTCAATTCAATTGTATATTTTTTTTCATGTTTGTTACCTCATAACTTTTGACTGGGTGAATCGGATTTGATGATTCTTTTTTTATTAGAAAGCTGACGCTTCCCGTGTGGTCCACTCTACTTTTGATAATGGTATCCATGAGAAAACCATATAAGTCTTAAATTTGCATTAAGTACGTGCGCGACAAATAGATGAATAGCTCAATAACTCAATATCACACCAACCGATTTCGATGATTATTGTTTTTAGTGTATATTAATTTGTTTTGGAATATCTTTTTTTTTCTATTTGAAGTCTGTTTTTGTTAAAGCATGATTTTTTTTATTTTTATTGCCCTTGTATGGAGACGAGCATACGGCCCAGCTGATGGTGAGTGGTTACCGTCGCCCATGGACTTCAGCAATGCCAGGGTCAGAGCCAAGCCGCTGCCTACCGCAAAATTACAATTATTTATATTGCATTTTATAGGCCTTTCGTTATTGCATAAGAAATTTTCCATTCACATTGTTTACATAACTTCCATCCCTAGACCTCAACGTCACTAAATCAACTGCATCCTATAATTTCGTTCGACAAAATAATTCCAAGGGATTGGCCCATTAAACTGGTTCGCGACAACTTAGATCTCAAGTAGCTACTTTCTCTTTGATCCTACCGATATTAAATTATGTCGGTGGCGTAATGCAAATTGGATACGCGAATGTCAATCAAATCGTGATGCGTTATTTTTAGTATTGTCTAATACATCATATCTGAACGTTTTGAATTAATGGATACTAGATGATAACGTCATCTTGTTGTGTTTTTAAAGCGGTTAGTTGCCCTCAATTAAGAAAAATAGTATTATTATTCGCCAATAGATGTCGGGGAAGAGTTGATTATTGAAAACACGAATAAAACAATGTTTTCTGAAAATATAGCTAGATCGTTTTATCGCCCCCGAAATCCCCTGTATACTAAACTTTATGAAAATCGTTGGAGCCGTGTACCTATGAGATATTAGCGTTTTAGCTACAAGTATAATGGGTGTTTCGCATTAGGAATTTGCCAATAGGGAGTTGGTATGTTTTCAAGTTTTACTCCAAATCAGGTGTAGGAATCGTAACGTAAAGTGCCTTTACAAGGGTTCAGGTTCGGCGGTCTATTAGCAATCCATGACAATTGCGAAGGGAGAAAGGCTATTTGGGTTAAGCGACATTTCGAAATTAATACGTGATATTTACATTTGTAACTAGCTGACCCAGCAGACTTCGTAGTGCCTCAATCGATAAATGAAAGACCTAAACTTTTGTATAAAATAAACTTAAAACAAACAAAAGGAATCCGTCCGACGGGGGGGACATCAAAGGAAAAACAAAATTGTTATTTTTATTTAATTCCGAGCGTTTTCATATTTATCTACCTTTTAAACTTTCTCTGGACTTCCACAAATAGTTCAAGACCAAAATTAGCCAAATCGGTCCAGCCGTTCTCGAGTTTTAGCGAGACTAACGAACAGCAATTCATTTTTATACATATAAGTATATAGATTAAAGGTGCGTTTTGTTTCTAGCATCAACAGTTCGATGTTTTTAATTAAACTTCAATTAGGATTACTCCTAGCTGAAGAAGTTTTTTTTATATTTTTTCAAAATTGTAAGTTTTAAATGGCTCTACTGTAAAGTTGCAAAAATGAACCTTAAACAAAATAGTTTTTCACCCCTCGATTTATAAATTCGAAATTTAACTCTGTCCGTCTATTACGGTTTGATGTTCAATGCGCTGAACCGATTTGAGGAAATCAGGTATGGATGGATATAGTTTGAACCCTTATAGGCTTTCGTGCCACAGCTAAGCACGAATCCACGCCCACGTGATTTAAAGTGTACAGTCAGCACTCGCCAAGCTGAGGTCGGAAATCTAGTATACAAAGTTTAAGAAAAGGAAAAAGTTTGAAGTTTACCTACAAAGTTTTGAAATCAGCGTGGCGTAAAGGATAAAACGCCTGGTGTACTGAAACCGTAGATGCAGCCATTCCTTGTCTGGACTCCTTGAGTTTTTAAATAAGTATTACAATTTTAAAAATAAAAAATAAAATTTAAAGATAATTATGTAGAGATAAGTATGACTGGAAGATAAATATTGAATAAAAAGGTGATTTTTTAATTATTCGACTTAACATGAACGATGTTTGGGGTCATTCTCTCGATTGCCAGTGTAAAACTACATTCTAATTAAAACCGAATGGTAAATAGTCGACGTCGCCCAAAGCACGTCATTACGGATCCTCCCGATCCATTAACGGTGCTTTTAGGCACCACAGGCACCGGTAACCGTCCTCGTCCGTTCTCCCAAGGGCTCGACGAGCGAATTAACCCATAGACACAGCCCACTGAGTTTCTCGCCGGATCTTCTCATTGGGTCGCGTTTCCGATCCGGTGGTAGATTCTGCGAAGCACTGCTCTTGCTAGGGTCAGTGTTGCAACACTCCGGTTTGAGCCCCGTGAGCTCACCTACACACGTTAGGGTTAAGCTGAAATAGCCTCTCAAGGCTATCAGCATAGGTAGGAAAAAAATATCTAATTAAAACCGTTTGAAGTTCCTTAACTTCGGCGGTCACGGTTTGTAGCGATCACGGCCGAACAAGTTCGCGTGTCTCACAAACACGTGTTCCTCACCGAGGATACAAATGAGCTTTAGATTTTTCTCCTAAATCCTCACAACATTGAGAGAACAGAACTAATTATAAACCTACAAAGGTTCTCTGCGCTCCCCTAAGGTAGACTGTCAGAGAATGCCTATGGCATTAAGTCCCCCTTTATACTGTCTAGTATATAAAGTTATAAATCAATAAATAAATAAACTTTAAATTGTGTTTGTCAAACTTTTTATCACACACTCGTCAATTAAGCGAGATTCTGTTACCACGACCCGAACTCTGAAACGATATTTTTCGTCATTGAAATTTCAAAGTTACAGTATCTTATCGACTATGAATACTATACTAGTGGCCCGCAGTAGTCGAGATTCGACTATAATTAATTGAAATTATAAGTTTAAACATTAATATGGTTCTATTGTCAAACACTAATGTATTTCGATAATATAATCACAGTATTCGCCAAAACTGCACTATAGATCAATAATATTAAAGACAAACAATATTAATCTATTTTCAATTCGACAATTGACAGTAAGCAAAGAGTATATTTTTGTGTATGTGTTGTGTCAAATACATGGTGGTGTGTGTAATGTTTTCTTTATTGATTTAAAGTATCTTTTATGCATTATTTTCAAAAAATATTAGCATCGTGCACTACTTCTCTATATTCTCTATATGTGTGAGAAATTTCATTCTCCTCCGTCCGCGCAATTTTCGTAAAAAGGGGTACAAAGTTTTTACTTCACGTATTAATATATAGATTAGAAAATATTCGATTTTGTTTGCACGACAAAGAAGCGGAAATAACAGGCGCGTATATGATTTTGTCAAAAGTATCCGGTTTGTATATGTGTGTGACAGATGTAATATGAATAAAGAGACGTCAGAGGAAATTGTCGTAGATGAAACATTTTATGTCGTCGTCTGTATGTGTCGCAACTGCTTTATTGTGGTCTGGTACCAGCTGTCTTAGTAGAAGGGACGTTTCCATCTTCAACTGTGTCAATAGCTATTTCGACTATAAAAAGAGTTTAAATTTAAAAAATGCCGGCCTTAGTTGTGATTTCAACTAAATATGTGACGTGGAAGCGATTCCGATGGAGCTTTGATGTCTTGTTTGAAGACGACCGATGTAATATATTTGTGGATAGGTTTATGTAACAATTGACAATCGATAAAGTCGCGATCTCATGATCATTATTGTGCATAGGTAAGACTATTAATAAAAGCGGTTCAAGACGTCATTGCCTATTTTGGTTGAGAGTGTAAAGGTCATTTCCAGATAGCACGAAATTATTTAGTAACAAAAGAGGGGATTGCTGTAATTTCGACATTATTGTTAAAGTTATATCTGTTTTTTTAAGACTATGACGAAACGTAAGAAGTCAGATCGTAGTAATAAAAACAAAATTACCTTATTATCTTTCTTTAGATCAGTGGTCTGTCCAATATCTAATATTAATAGTTTTTTACTTTGCTTTCCGAATACATACCTCATTTTTAGTTTATACATATTTTAAAAATAAAACAATTTTTTGTTTCGTTTCAGATATATCAATATGTTGTGATAAAGCGGACAAAGCTGAAGGAACATGTCGCAGCGTATGTGAGAAGGTAATTCATTTGTTTTATCATTATACAAATACTATTTGTAATATCATATTAATACGTGAAGCAAAAACTTTGTATCCCTTTTTACGAAAATTGCGCGGACGGAGGAGTATGAAATTTTCCACACTTATAGAGAATATAGAGAAGAAGTACACAATGCTAATCTTTTTTTTAAATAATGCATAAAAGATACATTAAATCAATAAAGAAAACATTACACACACTGCATACCATGTATTTGACGCACACACGCATGCATACTATTTATTGTCAAACTTTTGTCAACAAACGTCTGTTGTCAAATTGAGAATAGATTAAATATTGTTTGTCTTTGTTAATATTTTTTATAGTGTAGTCTTGGCGAAATTTGTGATTATAGAAGTATAAAATACAATCATAATAGTGTACAAACTTACAATTTCAATTAATTATAGTCGAATTTCGACTACTGCGGGACCTCTAGTATAAACTTAATAGAAAGGATTGTACGCACTCCAACGAAATTGGTCACATTCCGGTTTTCACGAAGCATCCATTCAGGATACGTCCATTTGTTGAGTCTATTCGTGTGCTAAACTAAGCTTAGATACTTTGACGGTCATACTGCGCCGGAAACCATCGTCGAAGTGCAAACGAATGTCCGAGGTTCCAACTCGATATGATGTTAACGATCCACGAGCGCATGACACTGATAATATATGAACAATACACAACATTAATTTTATATTGCGTGGACATTACCTAATGGAAGTTAGCATTGATGCCATTTTCATTGTTACTCAACGTTTTAAATTTTATTATAAAAAAAAGAACATGATATTCCTAAATAACCTAAAAGTACATGTTATTATCCGCAACACGCTTCGTCAGATTAGAGCAATAGAGTATAGAGTTATCAGCAACATGTTTCGTCAAAAAGTATAATACTTACTTTCAGCTACAAACGTCTTCTTAAGTAATATTTTAAGTAACGTTTTAAAATGACTGTTATGTTACAAGTGTGTTATGCCGTGCCTTAATAGGCAAAACGTTCGTTTGAATCGTTTTGAGCGATGCGATTATTGTTTTCTTAATCTATCTAGCAATTTGACAATTGGCTGAAATGACATTGCGGAAAAAAAAAAACTCATAAGTTTTTGTAAATTTGGCACTTTTAATGATGATGCGGGGAGTATTGTGAAAGCAGGCCGATAGGAATCACAATCCTGCCTATTTCTGCGGTAAATTCACTTTTTATGTTTCAGACGTGGGACAGCTATATTATATTTTAATTCATTTGACTCTGCGACTTTATTTCTCAAGCCGTGCATTCACATTGGGACTTAGCACCTGATAAGTCGAAAGTTTATTCATCAACAATATAAAAAAAAAAAACAAAAAATCGCATTTATGAACAACAGAGAACAACACTGATATCATTGTATTCGTCCGCTGTGATCCGCTTGCTTTCTTGCAAATTCGAAGGGAATGACATTTTCCCTGCGACTGCGTTGTCGATAGAAAACGCGATGCATGTAAATATTCTGATCTAATCGATCGTATTCTCCCACGTTACGCATATACCGTTCGAACAGGCTGAATGTATAAAGCTTCTAACTTTACTAAGGTAAAAAATAATAATAGATAGGTTTATGTAATTGTTTAATGTATTATATTGAGAATTTTTTTTTTCCTTGCATTATAAGTTAGATTATTTTTCGTTATCGTGTCGTTTTGTCGTAATTGTAAAGAACGTTGTTGTACAAATTCAGCACTATGTCTTGTTTTGTCGTGCGCACATAACTTATGTTGCAAGCCAGATTTTGTTTCTTTTTAGTTGTGTTTTTATGTATCTTTATAGCTTGTGATGTGTATTGTGAGCCTAATAAATAAAAAATAAAAAAAAAACAGATCATGAAATCTTCCTCTACACATTTAAATTAATCAATTGTTATGTTTTTTTTTTTAAATAGTAAACGGGCCATGCAGTCCTCTGTCGACCTTTCGAATACTTTTCAGTTTTCGTGGTCACATAGGTAGGTTTTTTTTTGTGACAATTCAATTAATAGCGTGTAAATTATGAACGCGAATTAAATTTTAAAATTTGTTTACGGAAAATAATCTTCAATGTTTTCAATATTCTTCTGTTAATGCTAGAAATTCTGTGCCATATTTAGGTCAGAGATTTGATAAGAATAATATTATGAATTCGACAAAGGACATCGTTTATTGACTCCCCCTCGTCCGCGTCTCGGTCCTAACTCCACAATTCCCAATCAAAGTTTTGACTTCAAGCTTCGAATTGACTAATTAAGCAGATTTATTGCTTCCCCGGGATTTTTTTAGTGTTGGATATTTTTACCTCCGTACGCTCCGAGGTCATTTGATATTTTATTTCGGCACGGCGGCGCTTACACACAAAAGGTTTTGTCTTTGGTTCGTTTCGATGAATCTGTTTGTAGTCTATCTTATACCTTTAAACGAGCTATTCTTGTATATATAATATATAATCTGAATCTCGGAAACGGCTCCAACGATTTTTATAAACTTTAGTATACAGGGGATTTCGGGGGCGATAAATCGATCTAGCTACGGTTTATTTTCAGAAAACGTTGTTTTATTCGTGTATTCAATAATCAACTTTATGACTCTTCCCGATATCTATTGGCGAATATTAATACTATTTTTCTTAATTGAGAGCAACTAACTGCTTTAAAGACACAACAAGATGGCGTTATCAAAAAAAAAAACAAAAAAAAGTGCGTGCGTACAAAGTACAAATTTTTTTTAATTTTTTTTTATTGCCTTTGTTGGCAGACGAGCATACGGCCCACCTGATGGTAAGTGGTCACCGTCGCTCATGGACGTCAGCAATGCCAGGGGCAGAGCCAAGCCGCTGCCTACCTACACATGTCAGAAGTGAAACTTTTTTGGCGAAATAATTTATAATTTTTTTTTTTTTTTTTTTATTGCCTTTGTAGGCAGACGAGCGTACGGCCCACCTGATGGTAAGTGGTTACCGTCGCCCATGGACTTCAGCAATGCCAGGAGCAGAGCCAAGCCGCTGCCTACTGTCTTGCTTATATTTATACAAATCTAAAACTTTAGATTTCCAAGACTTAGAGGAAGGGAAAAAGGAAGATATGTTCCCGCCAAAAGTCTGTCAAATTTCAATCTCAAACCTCAGTGTTGACAGTCACATTATGTTTAGATTTCTAAATTGTAAATGACTAATATTTTGCAAATTGAATTGACTAATTTAATTTCATGCTATTTGATTAATGTTCCAAATTCTTTTCATTTCATTTCAATTCCTATTAACATTTTTCACAAAATATTATAAGATATTAGGCTGTATGGTATGATACATTTGCCTTTCCAGTTGGAAAAATACAACAACTACTACTACTGACATTTGACAAGTACTTAATTTCAATAGTAGTTTGATGTCACTTCCGTTGCATACCTGCGTGACGTTCTGTAAAAATTTTACCCTCATGCGCCTAAAGAAGTTTCACTTCAAAAACGAGCAAAGCTCGGTCATCATCTAGTTCAAAAATAAACGGAGCCCGGTGTTTCCTACGATTTCGATCAATCGACGTACAAGCTTCTTCCTGTATATTAGAGAGTGGTATAATAAAATTATTCGTCCAAGCGCGTCGGTCTCAATCAAGGAAGGCATCACGAGTGTCCTTCGTTCCGAGAAAAAGCGTTGAATGAATAAAAAGCAAATTATTAAACGCATAATATATAAGTTATGGACATTGTCGGTGGAATGTTAAAATATACACGTTTCATTCGCTCGCCGTCATGTTTTTCAACATCATTGTTACATTAATATAATTTCAATAATTTTTAAAAGAATTAATTATAAAGACTTAATTATTTGAGCCGAATTACAACAAATTTGAAATAAAAAATAAATATGATACGAAGATAAAGAAACAAAAATGCCGAGTAGCAATGTTATAAATATAATTTAAATGCGTATCGTGAAAATGTGGAAGGCTTTAGAGCAGGGGTGGGCAAATACTTTAAAGCGCGGGCCAAAATGAAATTTTCAAAATGTCTCCCGGGCCGGAGGACTATACCGCATATGCTTTTTTACCGCATATGCTTTTTTAATGCTGATGTCAACAAAATCTCATAAAAGAGTTTAAAAAAATTTATGTGCGGAATTTTTCAACGGGCCGGATAAAATTAGCAAAAGNGGCCAAAATGAAATTTTCAAAATGTCTCCCGGGCCGGAGGACTATACCGCATATGCTTTTTTACCGCATATGCTTTTTTAATGCTGATGTCAACAAAATCTCATAAAAGAGTTTAAAAAAATTTATGTGCGGAATTTTTCAACGGGCCGGATAAAATTAGCAAAAGGGCCGGATCCGGCCCGCGGGCCGGCTTTTGCCCACCCCTGCTTTAGAGGAAGAGGTAGACCTAAGAAAAAATGGTGGGTTGCGTGAAGACGATATGTGAAAGAGGGGAGTGAGCACAGAAACGGTATATGATAGAGGACTATGGAACGAGAAAGCATATTGCGCGGACCCCAGGTAACTGGGAGAAGGGAAGGAGGACGATGATGACGTATTGTGATTACGGGTGGTTATCAACATCCTGCCATTTATTCCCGAAGCGTGTGTGTTATTACAATGGTATAGAGACTTTTTTTTATACCTTAGAGGGGTGGACGAGCTCACAGCCTACTTGGTGTTAAGTGGTTACTGGAGCTCATAGACGTCTACAACGTAAATGTGCCACCCACTTTGAGATATAAGTGGTAAGGTCTCAGTATACTTACAACGGCTGCCCCAGCCTTCAAACTGAAACGCATTACTGCTTCGCGGCAGAAATAGGCAGGGTGGCGGTATCCACCCGCGCGGACTCAAAAGAGGTCCTGCTACCAGTAAAAAAACCACAGACTTCGACCATTCGTCTCAAAATTGTAAGCGGTGTTCATGTTGTCTATGAACTCCGGTAGAAACACAATACTACGTGGGCCGTGAGTTTTATCTGTTAAACTAGCG